GGGAATTTTATTTCCTTTGGCTTATAAAACCGCAGTCTGGAAAGAAGCTATATAAATATGTTAGAATTTTGGCAAGTTTCTTGGCCTTATACACAGGAAGATTTAAGGGAAGATAAAGTAGACAACAAAATGTTTGCTAGCAAATTTTATATTATTGCAAAGCTATAATTTTGTTTTTCTTGCTGTGAAATGATAAATTGGCCTTAGAGCTTTTAACTAGTGGCAGTAAAAGGTCATTCTCCACCTGTCATGTAATAGGATAGTGGGAATTTCAGGTGTCTCCAGAATAATTCCTCTGCTTTGTGTGATTTTTTTTTGTTCTGCATTACAGTCACGTGCAGCATGAGACACTTCAGTTACGTGGGACCATATATACAATGGTGGCCCTATAAGGTTGATTACAATGGAGCTGAAAATCTCCTGTCCTCTAGTGATGTTGCTGTGCAATGCACTTCTCATGTGTTTATGGTGATGCTGATGGAAACAAACCCACTGTGCTGCCAGGCGTGCAAAAGTATTGCGTACACTACTATGTGTAGTACATAGTACTTCATAGTGATAAATGACTACGTCACTGGTTTGTGTATTTACCATTATTTATTGTTATTTGAGAGTGTACTCTTTTACTTATAAAAAACATTTTCTGTAAAGGAGTATGTTGTGTTACTATGTCTCTTGAATGCGCCATTTTCTCTTGTGCTTGATTTAATCTCCTGTTGTCCTATGAATTTGGTATAGCTTCAGTGTAAAGTGCTTATAAAGTCCACAGTTGCGTACAGTGATGTCCCAGTTCTCATGTTCACTCACCACTCACTCACTGACTCCCCAGAGCACCTGCCAGTCCTGTGCTCCATTCATCATAAGTGCCCTATGCAGGCAAATCACTTTTTATCTTTTATACCGTATTTTCACTGTACCTTTTCTATGTTCAGACACACAAAACTGTTGTGTTACAACTGCCTACATGACTCAGCACAGTAACATGTGCAGGCTTCTGGCTGAAGAGGAGCAATAGGCTGCATCGCACAGCCTCGGTGTGCCGCCCGGGTTTGTGAGGTTGCGCTCTGTGATGTTTGGACGACGACACGTAACGACACGTTTCTCAGAGTATCCCTACCATTAAGTGGTGCATGACTTATTTAAAAACAAAAAGCAAGGTTCTCTCAGTTGTGAAAGAGCTAAGTTTCTTAAATTGTTTTGTCTTCTATGTTTATCTCAAACTATTTTATTATCATTTTGGTTAAAGGTGACCCGCTGTTGTTTCTCAGCACCCATGCTGCTACTTACATGAAGTGCCTACCTCTTCTTTGATACATTTTTTGAGTTTGCCTCTCCAAGATCAGATTCTAAATTTAGAAAGGAAATACTTCCAGGCTGTCTTGTATACTTACAATCACCTTTGAGATTTCCCAGAGGGCCTTTGGAAGATCACCAAGCTTTGTTACTTTACTTTATAAAAAGAAGGATGCTAGTCAGGTTTCTTCAGTATTTTCCATATTTCTTAATTAGCTCACTACTATTCTAAGAGCAGTGTGGGAAGGATTGTCAAGTCAGAAATGATGTTCAGCCTTCCCTAGGTCATTTCTATGGGTAAAATGTTATTAATATAAATATTTCAGATATTGTGTATTTTATGGAAAGGCCCTGGAGATTTGTTAATGTCCTTACTAGTATATCCTTACCCTCAGGGAAAATATTGACCAACTTTTTAATGAAATAATTATGTAGAATACCACAGTAGAGAATTTTACTCTCTTTTTTCTGATATTGTTAATATATCAGAAAAGCTAATCACAAGTATTCAGTCTCATGATCACTCTTGCTTTTACTGGATGCTTTTCTGAAGGTTCTGCCCTAACCTCAGAGTCTTTAAATGTTAGAGCCTCATAGAAAGCCTTGCAGGAAGCTACGAAGAATACTAGGTAGGTACTCTTAACTACTGCTACTATAGACTCTTGAGTACAAGCTTCATGCTTGCATCACTTTAACACCTTTCAGACTACACAAGTAGACTGAGTCAGAATGTCTGGATTCTAAAATTCCAGATTCTTCTCAATGCAGACATATTTCATGAAAGTCCATGGCTTGACTCAAGATCCTGGGAAGTAAAAATTACATAGGACTGCATGAGCTGATGAAGGAAATTTTAATTGTGGTCATTTGTGTGCAATATTGTTGTATTATTTTTTATATTTTATTTTTATGGCTATATACAGAACCCCTTTCTCTTTCTTGGTAAGCGTCTAAACTTCAATTGAGTAGACAGTGTATCAGTAAACTGAAATGGAACTTTTAAAAATGGCTCTCTGATGTCCTCAGAATTCAGAAACACATACTTTCAGTGAGTGTTCTTACCTTTCATGACAAAATAGTTACTGGCCTACATTCAATAAGAATCTGTCTTTTTTACCAAGATATAATTGTAGATTGTTCAATCAAAGCCATACCTAGAGGGTTATATTTGAGAGTAATGCTCTTAGGTATAAGAAGTCCATATTAAGGAATGAAGGGTTCACTTTATCTGTGGAACTAATGCCAACAAAACACTCCCTGCAAAAGTAGCCTGATCCCTCCCTCCAGGACCCAATCTGGCTGGTGGTGAGAAAGGTCACCTCCTGGAAAGCCCAGGAGTTTAGCAAATTTTGCTGACTTCAAGAAGGGAGGAATTTACCCTGATTTAGTGATACTGTAAGTGCAATCTGGTGGAAAAACTTTCTCGGCTTAGCCCCCTAACCTTGGAATAGGGGAGTGAATATTCAAGGCTGTTAAAGTCTGAGATCCCTTATGAAGGCTTCTGAATAGAAGGTAGGTTGGGTTTTTTTGTTTGTTTGTTTGTTTTTGCCTAATTAGTTGCTGAGTATTGTTGCTCAAGTTTTGCAGAGATAACTTGAGGCCTATACAATTAAACTGCTGCATGTGTCTAAATAATCAGGGAAAACCTAAGATCAGCATTTTTGTGATTAAGAATAATCTTTAAATATTATTTGAGTCCAAGGCAGAAGGCAGAAAATTTATCTGAAACTTGGAAATAAAGAAGCAAGGGAGCACATCCTCCCTCCTACTAGGGAGAATTCTTGGGTTGCACCCCAGATGGATGGAATCAGATTCTGGGTGGGATCCAGCAGTCCGAATTTTAACAAGCCCCTAGAGATTCTGATATACACTAAAGTTTGAGAACATTACCCCAGGGGAAACCGCTTAAACTTAAGTTCACTGTTTACTACTGATTAAAGATATCAGACTCAGTGAAGTCACTCGTTGTATCACAGATTTCTGTCTGGTAGAGATGTAACTAATGTCTGCCCAGTGGACAATGTAGTCTTAAAGGTTACAGTTTAAGGCCTTGTTGGACATTAACCAGACTTGCCTCTAGCTCAGCAATCTCACACTGACATTACCTAAAATAGCTAGCTCTTGGAATTAGTTTTAATATCTTGCTAATTTTCTAATGAATGAGTTGAATATAATCTTTGACAGGTGTTCATTTAGTAGTTACATGAGAATAGTAGTTCTTACCCTTTAGAAAATTATTGTTAGTGTATTTCATGCTGTGGCAATAGTGAGCCCTAATACTAGGCAGTGCCTTGATGGGAGGACTGTGGTCTGCTTTTGCTCAGTTTGTTACACTAACATCAAGCATGGCGTCTGGTTCGTAAGCTCCGAATAAATATTTGTGCAATCAATAAACACTACCTAAATGATATGGGATTTTTAAAAGTGGAATTTTACAACTGGCCCTTCAAGTGTCCTTTCTGTTGTTTTAATTAACTTGTATTTGTGTCTACTTCTTAAAGGGATTCTGCTGGGGTTTGTTATCACGGACCCTGAAGCAAAAGATAGAATTGGAAAGGGAAATTTTCTTTAACTATTCTCTGAGATCTGCTGGTTGTTGGGACTAGGAGTGAAGGAATTATTTCAGAGACAGTCTCAACATAGGTCATTGGGCTGCTCTTCAGTTGCAGAAAGCACGTGCAAGTGATACTTAGAGTGATATGCCCACATGGATCCCCGGGTTTTGTTACCTTATAATATGAACAGGAACTAACACTTCCTGGGCATGTGCCATTAATAAGGAAAGGAACCAGATGAAAATGTGTATGGTTTTAGGTAAATCACCCAGAAGTGCTAGGAAACTGTTGCCTAACTGACAACGAGTGGAAAACTAGCACCATTTTCAGGTGATCAGATGGCCTTTGGAGGGAACATCTTTTGTTCTTCTCTCCCTGTGGTTTCCCCTTAGGTATTTTCCTCCTGCATTCCAGACGGTCTGGGGGCAACAGTGGGTTGTTAACTGGTCATCCCCTTCTGCCCCACAAATACTCCACACAGTGGTGCATTTATATCCCATGCTAAACAACTTCCTGCCTCCTGGAAATTTAGATAATGGGTAGAATGATGAACAAGGAGACTTAAGCTCCAGTACCACAGCAGCATCCAAGATGACTGGCCGTGATTTCCTGATTGAGATCCCTCGCCCAGAGTCATTTCTTGGTATGAAACTTCCAGAAATTATATTGCCTGCTTCTTCAGCTTTTCCTTTCATTCCGTATCTTTCATTACTTCCTTTGTGCTTAAATGAGCTAGATAGTTTATGTGGACAACCAAAGTATCATAACTGATATAACATCCATTTTCCAGATGAAGTGACTTAACCCAAGTCCCATGCTCAGTGGTCGAGTCAAGTCCAGCCCATGGCTCTCTTCCAGACTCTGGCATGACACAGGTGTGTAGTGTCCTTTAGTAGAATTAAAGAGCATCTGGCTGTTGTTGAAGGACTGCCTTCTTCACGGGAGACATTTCCTACTGGAAAGCTTACTTACAAGAGAAAAATATTCTAAATATCTTTCTAGAAATGACAATCATTAAATCTTAGTTGACTTACATTTAATTTCTTTTAATTATACTATCTGACCTAATGGAGTGTCCTGGCAGCACATAAACTAAAAATCCTAAAGGAATCCCTTAATAACCTTACTTAATTAAAAAAAAAAAAACTAGCATGCAAACGGAAAATGTACTTTATTTATTTATAACATTTTGTAAACAATCACACTGTGCATTTTTAATTCAATAATAACAAATTTTTTCTATGATTTATAGCAAACTCTATATAAAGACAATGAGTTAATATAAGAGTAAAGATGAATAGGATAGAATAATTTCTGAAAATGTTAAATTACAGCACTTGATACAAAGACAGATAACAATGTACCATAGAAATTTACATGCCACAAAACATTAATTTATAATTTTAAATATGCCATAAAACACATTTATAAAAAAAGCATCAACATTAATTTTATTATAAACCAGTGAATTACTCAGAAGAATATTTATTAAAACTTAGTAAAAATCAGTAAATATTGCAACTGAGGTAAAAACTTATAAGTAAACAAAACTATCATTTAGAAGGGCCAAAAAGTGAACGGAAGGGCAGATGCACTTTGACGACGCTCTCTACTCTCTGATATTTTGAAGCAGCTTCAGTAAATGTGACTCAATGACCTGTTGAACTAGAACAGACAGGAGATCAAGACCAAACATGCTGATTTAAAAACTTTCAAAAGAATTATCAAATTCAATCTTACATCCCCAACTTTTCCTAAAACAAAGTTATTTCTAAGTTGGGTATACTCATATAACTGAAGGAGAGTCCAGAGTACAAGGTTGTTCTAAGGAACAGAAAAAGGCAACTATAAGAGCATTTTATAGTTTGCTATGAGAATGTTAAACACATCTTGTAAATAGGTGTGCACTTATATTCCAGTAACTAATTATCTGGGTGGGTGAAAAGTAACGGTAACAAAACTCATTTCTAGACTTTGTAGGAATGTTTTCATTTTGCCCACAGTCAGGAGTTAGGATAACATGCAGTGTTCTGCATGTTACAACAACGAAAATGGTTTGGATCTCTGGTTTGTACTATCTGCAGAGCTTTAGTAGAATGAAACCTGAGCATTCTACAGTAAAATACTTACCACTTCGATAGCCCAGGGCTACAGCTAAATCCATAGAATTATATCCAGAGTCGGTTTCAATTGTTGGGTCAGCTCCGTTTTCTATACCAAAATAGAAAAATCTACATAAATAAATGAAAATGTGGATATGTTTGCCTATTACTGACTGGTGTACAAATAGCAAGACAGATTTTCAGCAAATTTGGAGAGTATCTTCAAGATGACGTGACAAAGTACAGGCTACGCAGAGTGCACAGAATTCGCTTTGGTGGGTGGAAGGGAAGACATTTCAAACAAACAAGCATCCTCTAGAGCAGCTGAAACTCACAAACAACGACAGGCAGAACTTAAGCATAAAGACTCTGCAGACAAGAAAACCACTGGGGATTCACACATGACCTCCAGAAGGGAAGCAACCAGGACAAATGCTCCGACTGCAGGCATGCCATGCGACGGAGCTGCCTCTCCTCGGGCAACGCGATGGCAGCAGGTGCTCCACCGTAAAGAGCAGCAGGATTAGTGTATTTAACAATAATTAATGCTTCTGCTGAGTAATACTAAGGGAGGCCAGCTTATACAAAGTAAAATAAAGTCCTCTTGGCATTTTCTAAATATTTTCATTTTTATCTGCTTACCTAGGAGCATTTTTACACACTTCACATGATTTCCATGCACAGCATAAAGCAAAGGTGTGCCTCCATTCTATAAAAGAAAAAGGTGATTTAGTGTTTCAAGATGAGCAAGATTTGAAGAATTTAATGTTGCTGTGAGAAGTTTTACTAAGAATTGGGCATGTAAAAGTACTTTAAGGTAATTTTAATATTTTGTGAAGAAAAATCAGAATTACTGAGTTTATGTCATTAACTTTTCCTTCTAGGTGTTTCATTAACTAATTGCTTATTCTTCCAAGTGTTTACTAAAATTTATTATGTCTCCCCAAACCAAATAAATCCTCGAGTTTCTTACAATAATGTAAAACTCGGTGTCATAGACTCACCCAATCATATTCATTTACATCAACTCCACAATCAAGCAGCATTTTGACAATATCGGTGTAGCCTTTACTACAGGCCAGAGACAGTGCACTTTCCCGACCTTTTCCTAAAAGCTGGGGATCAGCACCCTGGCGTGGGAAGTGGAGATAAAAGACTTTTCAATTCATGCAAACAAGAATATTGTTATTTCTGTCAACAATAATCACAGTTCAACACTCAGGTCAGGTAGTGTTCTGGGGTTAATACAGAAATAATGCAACTTCTTGTTGTCAAGGTTGTCTAGATGCCTCCTTTCTCCACCTCAGTCCTAACTATCCCTTCACTCTGGAGCCAAATGACATCTCTTCTATGCCGCTGCTCCTACAAGGCTGACAGTGCTTCTGTTCCCACTGCACTTACAGGGGGCTGGGCTTGGCCTCTCAGTTTCATGTATGATTAGTTCTATCTGCCCAACTAGATTCATGTTCCACAAGAACATGCAAAACATTAAAAAATTTTGGATCCTCTACCATTACATCTAGTTGGCTGGAGATACTGAAACTTTACTGAAGACTTAACTGAACTTAAGTAACTGTACAGGTACATTTTCTGAGGCATTTTCCTTACATTCTGAAGTAGAAACTCTACCACAGCTATTTGCCCGTGTGCTGCAGCCCACATCAGAGGAGTAAATCCTTCTTCATCCGTGTGATTGATAACATTTTCTATTTAAAAGAAAAGCAATTTTTGTGATCTAATTTAACAACCACATATTAACATCACCATGAAAATACTGGCATTCTAAAAAGTTGATATTACTCAGTGAGGATGGCTTCGTGCTGACTTTTGTTCACTGAAGTCCTGCTATGTGTTGTTGCAATTTGCAGTCTGACTGTACTAAAATTGCCTCAATGTATATAACTGAATTCAAATAGCATATCACTTCAAGTATAAACTAGGAGACACGACATAATTCTAGGCACAAGGTAATCTATAGAACAATGGGCTTGGAATCAGGAGACCAGAGTTTGGATTCTGGCCCTATCACTTTCTAAAAGTATGATTCTGGGCATGCCATTTGATTTCTCCAATACACAGAATAATACCTTGCTTATCTCAATGCGTAGTTGGGAGAATCACAATAAAAATGAGCTTATATAATAGCCTTCAGCATTACATAAATATATACTATTATAAAACTCCAAAATCTTACTAAAGCATGTTCTAGTCTACAGATAACATTGCTGCCTTTGAATTTCATTCATTCTGGGTGGTTGCTAAAATAATATAATGTGAATGAAGACTGAATAATTTGAAAGGCAATACCATGAAATTCTACCTTGAACCTCATTTTGTTCCCCAGATTTAGTCTACTAGTTTTAAAGTCCACAGCTCTTCCCTGACATTTATTTAGTAGCTTGAGAATAAAACCTTCAAGTGTTTATAAACAAATGGAAATATAATGACGAAGTCAGTTTTTCTTATAAAAGAATAACATGATTAAAAAGTAAACATCTTTTATCACGTACACTGTATTCAACCAATAGAGTTGAGACAACTAACTAAACTTTTTTTGGAAAATGAAAATAAATGTAAAGCTTGATCTTTATCTCACGACACCAAAACATATTTCATATGTGTCAAAGATTGAAAAGTAAAAAGGAAACCACAGAAGTTCTAGAATAAGACATGAATAAATTCATTTATAATCTTAGAGTATGAAATCCTTTCTAAGCGGGACATAAAAATTAGAAGTCACAAAGAAAAAACTAAATTTACCACTTAAAAATATTAAGCATTTGTTTGATAAACATCACAAAGCCAAAGGAAAAATGACAAACTGGAAACAAATATGCAGCATGAGCAACAAAAAGCAGATTTCTTTAATTTTGATAAGGGTTCACAGAAATAAACACAAAAGGAAATTGAAATATACCATAATTTCAAAACCGTAAACAAAACCAGTATGAGACACTGTTTTTAGTTTAGTCCACTAGTATCCTGTGTCAGTGAGGGTAGGGGAAATAGAATCCTAACTCTCATGTGAAGACAGGGCAAACACCTGGCAATAAATATAAAAATAAAAATTCATACACCTTTTCAACCACAAAATATTCTGAAGGAATTTACTCTACAGATACATTTAAAAAGAATGGCAATACTGTTACTTAGTAGCAACAAGTGAATCAACCAGCACCAGGGGGACTAGTTAAAAAATAAAGCATACATGTATGCAATACAATGCAAAATCATGGACCCATTTAAAAGAATAAAATATATCCTTGGGTCCTAATATGAAAAGATTTCCAAACTATTAAGTGAAAAAAAGTAAAGTGCAGTATTTTTCCTTTTGTGTAAATAAGAAAAAGCACATCCATATTCTCATATACAACTCCAAGTATAAACAGAAATGTTTTGTAGAAGAGTTTTCTGAAAATATAAAAACCTTACTTTTCCTTTTGAGGAAAAGGCTAGGCTTATAAGGGAAGCTATGACTTTTATACTTTAGAGTATTGACTTGTGAGATTATATAACCATTTTTTATCTTTATACTTCTCTGTATGAAAAGAAAAAAATAACAAGTCTAATAAATCCTATTACGTTTGTTTTAAATACATTTTTAAAAATAGGCTATTACCTTGTTCAATGCGAGTAGCCAGGTAGAGCATCTCTCCCTGAGCAGCTAACTGGTGAACAGATAAAGCTGAAACAGTACCATAAAAAGCTTCATATATCTAGACTCTCTCATCATCCCATTATTCATGTTTGTGCAGCAATTTTTTAAAAAATATACTTTATTGATTATGCTATTACAGTTGTCCTGTTTTTCCCCCTTTATTCCCCTCTGCTCTGCACACCCCCTCCCACCTGCGTTCCTCCCTTTAGTTGGTGTCCATGGGTTGTACATATAAGTTCTTTGGCTTCTCCATTTCCTATACTATTCTTAACCACCCTCTGTCTATTTTGTACCTACCATTTATGCTTCTTATTCTATCTTTTCCCCTTTTCTCCCCCTCCCCACTGATAACCCTCCCATGTGATTTCCATTTCTGTGATTCTGTTCCTGTTCTAGTTGTTTGCTTAGTTTGTTTTTTGGGGGGTTTGGTTGTTAACGGCTATAAGTTTGTTGCCATTTTATTGTTCATATTTTTTATCTTCTTTTCCTTAGATAAGTCCCTTTAACATTTCATATAATAAGGGCTGGGTGATGACGACCTCCTTTAACTTGACCTTATCTGGGAAGCACTTTATCTGCCCTTCTATTATAAATGAAAGCATTGCTGGCTAGAGTAATCTTGGATGTAGGTCCTTGCCTTTCATGACTTTGAATACTTCTTTACAGCCCCTTCTTGCCTACAAGGCTTCTTTTGAGAAATGAGCTGACAGTCTAATGAGAACTCCTTTGTAGGTAACTCTCTCCTTTATTCTTGCTGCTTTTAAGATTCTCTCCTTATCTTTAATCTTGGGTAATGTAATTATGATGTGCCTTGGTGTGTTCCTCTTTGAGTCCAACTTCTTTGGGACTCTCTGAGCTTCCTGGACTTCTTGGAAGTCTATTTCCTTTGCCAGATTGGTGAAGTTCTCCTTCATTATTTTTTCAAATAAGTTTTCCATTTCTTGTTCTTTTTCTTCTCCTTCTGGCACTCCTATGACTTGGATGTTGGAACGTTTCAAGATGTCCTGGAGGTTTCTAAGCCTCTCATTTTTTTGACTTCTTGTTTTTTCATTCTCTTCTGGTTGAGTGTTTCTTTCTTCTTTCTGCTCCAAACCATTGATATGAGTCCTAGTTTCCTTTCCATCACTGTGGGTTCCCTGTAGATTTTTCTTTATTTCACATAATGCAACTTTCATTGCTGCCTGGGTCTTTTTTATGCTGTCGAAGTACCTAGTGAGTTCCTGGAGCATCCTGATAACCAGTGTTTTGAACTGTGCATCTGATAAGTTGACTATCTCTTTATCACTTAGTTGTATTTTTTCTGGAGCTTTGAACTGTTCTTTCATTTGGGCCATTTTTTGGGGGGGTCTTGGCACACCTGTTACGTAGTAAGGGGCGGAGCCTTAGGTATTCACCAGGGTGGGGCAACCCAAGTGTTGCACTGTGATGTTGTATGTGGGGAGGGGTCTGAGAGGGAGCAGTGCTGCTTGCTCCACTCTCTGCCAGCTTTCAGTCACTCCCCCCCGCTTCCCACAAGGAAATTGGGTCCTTCTGGTGCTAATTCCTGGGTGGGTGGGTTTGTGCACATTCTAGGATCCTGTGGGTCTCTCCAATGAACTCTCCTGTGAGGCTGGGAGTTTCTCCCACTGCTGCCTCAACCCCCACAGGTGTTTTCAGTCAGAGGGTTGAGCCTTTATTTCCCCATGCTGGGACCCTGGGTTGTGCGGTCTGTTTCGTTCCCCAGTTTCTCCTCCTGGTTTATCTGTACACGAATGTGGGGCGGCCCAGTCTGCCAGCCACCACCTTGCTGTGACTTCTCTGCCCGGTGGCCCATCTCTGCTCCTCCTACTGGTCTGAGTGAGTGTTTCTTCTTTAACTCCTTGGTTGTCAGACTTCCATACAGTTCTGTTTTCTGTCAGTTCTGGTTGTTTTTTGTTTTTAAATTTGTTGTTGTTATTCTTTTGGTTGTGTGAGGAGGCACAGTGTGTCTACCTATGCCTCCATCTTGGCCAGAAGTAGCAATTTTCCTTTCCAAAACAAAAATTATCATTCTACTGTTACAAAAAAAAACCTAACTAAAATATACCCTAACAATGCAAATAGTCATGCTGTATCTGAGAAGTGACTCCTATATGTTCAAGGTAATTCTGACATTTGCAAAGTTATTATCAATAAATATGCAAATTTTTACATTCACTAGCAATGCAAATTGTTACTGATCTTATCAATCAAAGAAATGGCTTAGGTACTTAATTTTTAAAATGCCATCTCTTTATGCAAACTTATGAAAGAGTTGGGTCTAACAAAGACCTAACAAAGAGGCATGTTGTCACTGATAAAATCCACTGAGGTCCCAAATATCATTATTTCAAGATTCCATGGCTTTTTCTTATATTTAGGAGGAGCGAGATGGTAAATGGACAACTGACTTTGAGAGTAAATCCTCGAGGGCAGACCTAGCTGTGGTTAATTTGGTATGCGCCCTTGGATAACTGATTAAACAGTTTTATCTGTAACATGAGGTATGGAACCACACGATTTCTAGATGTTTTGAGTTAAAAAATTCTACAGTTCAAATATTTTAAGACAATCTCCATTTTAAACAAAGATAAACAGGCACTGTTACATGACACTTAAAAGTTAGGCACTTAAAAATTATGATACTTTAAAAACAGGCACTTAAAAATCAGTATCACTCGATCCTTGACTGCAGTGATGTGGTTGGGGGTCCTTAATGCAGAAAGGAAGGCAATTGGGGAGCAGTTGCAAATTTATACAAATTAGACAGAAATGACCAATAGGTAGAGTAAGACACATGCTACAGCATACGGTTTGAAGTCAAGAGGGATATAGTGCTTACAAAGTAAAGAAATATATTTTACCATGCACTAGAATATAGATGTACTTACATTGTATTTTCACATGTAGTTCCTAACATCAAATTGCTAACTGGTTTTGGTATATTCTGTCTGCTATACAGAAAAACTTCACTTCTTCTCGAGTGATTATACACCTTTAAAAAAGCCTGTAGGTTCTAAGTTTTTAAAAAGGTAGTTTAATACTTATATTCAAATTCAAAATTACAACAGAAATCACTCTGCTTTTACTACAAATAACTTGTGGATCAGTGATCTAATTTATAAGCAAAATGTAAAGCCTTGCACTCCAAGAACACAAAACACAATGTCTTACTTTGCACAACATTTAGAATAACTTACCTTTTTTTACAGTAAACTGTAAGGGTTTTAAGAATATTTCAATCTGTATGTTTTAAACAGAGAAGCATAAAATGTAAATAATTTGAATATACGGTAATCTGTGAAAGAAATTTAAATTACTAAAACTATGAGTTTTCCAAAATGGAATATGCATTTAATGAAAATAACATTTCAAAGCCAAACTCTTGAAACCATTATATTAGTAACAAGGATTGTTTAATACACTGGTGGGAAATACTTACAATTTGCTAACAGAGGTGTGGTTGAGACCTCATTTCCTCTGTGTTTGTTGGTCAAGGTAGTTGACTGTTTTATGGGTGAGAAGTGCTTTGTTGTAGAGGGAGTGTAGACATGCCTTACTTGGATTCCCGGAGAAGGAGATGTATGGATATTGCATTCAGCTAAGTAAAATAAATTAAACACATTAAAACAATATTTTAATGACAAAGCATTTCAAAGTTCTATGTTGACATTTACATTAAAAAAATACATGAGGTATATCTTCAACTGTTTCTCAAGTGATATTTAATTATTGTTTGTCATTAAGAAATCTACACTACCATAATGAAAGTTCCAGAAAAAATCTGTATTAATGTTGAGCAACTTTATTCTGGAATTAGTATTTTTATTCAATAGGTTGTTATAAACGTACAATATAATGCCATATTTCACTGACTGAAAGCATAGGAAGCTAATACTGATCAAATATTCATAGAATAGGGAATATTATGCTAATTAACTTGTAAAAGGCACCAATATTTTTCTCCCATGATTTAAAAAGGTACAATAAGGAATTATATAAAAGACTTCTCCTTTTAACAAAGGTGAAGCAAGAAATTTTTAAAAAATCAACATGTACTTTGGACATTATATAACATGAAGTTATTTCACTACGTCTTCTGTAAGATTCTAGAAAAACCATATTGAAAGATGACTTCCAAATTTTCTTCCCAAACTCAAAATCTCATGATCAGAAAGGGAAGAAAAAAAACAATAAGTAAACAAAAACAAAACAAATGCAGATATTTATACCATAACTTTCAACCTTTAAATAGGACAGATGCCACCTCCAGGTCCGAGTTAACCTGATCTTGAATATTTTTACTATCCTCTTCATTTAAGGACTTCACAAATCGAGAGCACACGTTCATATCAAATCGGTTAGGCAATATGAATTTCATTCCCATGGCGACACCCTGAGCCGATACTTCTTCTGCATTTGCATCCAGTTGATGTTCTATTTTAATGTCTGGCATGCCAGTTAGACTATAACTGCTGGGACACTCTTCCACTATCAGCTGGGCTCCAAGGTCCAGATTTGCTGATGTAGCCATGATTTCAACTGTAGTTTCAATAATTAAAACAGTCCTTCATAATTTCCTTTTGTTTTTTTAAGAGTGATATCCAGTGTATTCTTGAAATTTGGTTATTAAAAAAATCTGAAAGAAAATAATTTAAAGTATGCTATCAACTTAGGCAGAAGTACACAAAATAATCATTTTCAATCAAGTATGCAAACAGTGCTCTTACAAGCATCCATTAATAACAGAAAGCATACAACGTTCATACGCAGAGAACCCTGGATATAAACCCAAGCTTCTTATTATCTGTGTGTGAACCTGTACAAGTTACTCCAACTCTCTAAGCCTCAGCCTCATTTGTAAAATGGGGAAACCCACATTAACCTCACAGTATGCTGGTAGACCAAATGAAATACAGTAACATTTTCATCTTCATCACTAGGTTCCAACAAATTTTAGTTACCTTGTAATCTCCTTTTTTATTCCTGAATATTGTCAGATGGATAAAAGATCAGGCTAATGATAAAAAATAACCTTTTACGTGAAAACTTGAACTTCTCACTTGAGGTTCATTTTTGAGTTCGCTCTGTTTGTAAGCGGCTCTCAGTGTGAATTTAAGAGAGAACTCATGATGTACCCAAGTCTGTTGGCATCGACAACACCAGTGACTCCTGGATAGTGACTTTACAAAGCTTTGGTTATGATGAACTGAAGATATATTTCTTTATCAGTTTTTGTTCAGATCACATGTTACCAAAGTAATTTAGGTTTTTATGAAAATTGAAGAGATTATAGACTGGCTTCCTTTGCTTTAGAATCTCTAGGACACTAGGATCAACGTATAGTTTTTGGCTCTCAATCTTTGTTATATTTTTTCAAATATAAACTGTACCATGAAGTCAAAAACTGCTTACTCTCAGAGTATAGATTATAAGCACACCTGTTATTGAATCATTTACTGTTATTTTAGGATTAGTCTTCAGTAATCACTGGCACGTCTCCTATGGACCTTAATATAATTTTAAGGGAAATTTCACTATTGCACCTAAAATTGATTCTAAAAAAATGAAGAAATCCAAGATATATAATTTTCCCAGATATATAATCACTGGGACATGAAGACAATAACATCCCATTAATTTTTTTTCATGTTACAGTTTACTGTCTCTTAGAAATTCTGAGAGAGTGCAGTGTTTAAAATTGAAGAATGCATTAGTGAAGCAGAGGTTGGCAAACCATACATTTACTGATAAACATTTTGCAAGACTGATCCTTATAACACTCCATTGAATAGTCAGGGCAGATAATCATTATGTCCATCATAGAAAAAATGGGAGGGATTCATAAATTATGAGGAACCTATCCAGCTGTTCTGACTCCATCACCTGCCCCCTAAAATAAGCAGCAGCACTAATCCAAAACTTCCGAAAGAGAAAGCATTGAAGAAATAACAAATTGTAATGATAATTAAAAAAGAAAGTAACAGATAACAAAGTCAATATACTTTAGCAAAGGAATGAAGGAAACCAGAGCAGAAAATCAGTCGTGATTCAAATGGACATGCAGTGGCAATGCAGAGGTCTTTAAAAGGGTATTGCAAGGTGGGAAGAGTGTTTCCTTAGGTCAGAGCCAACCCTACAGACTTCTACCCTGAAGACGCCTAAGTGAAACTCCCCTGAGTACTCTCGGCACTCTTCATGTATTCCTATTTTAGCATTTATCATTCTCTTGAATGTTTCCATTTCGATTCTAATAAATTTTCTGAAAACTCTTCTAGGATGAGGACTACATTTACTAATCTTTGCAGACAAAACAGTGCTTGGTCCTATCAGGTGCTCCATAAATGTTTTCTAATCTGAATTTTAATGTGTCATACTCTTTTCTATCCTGGAATGACCCTGCATGATGCTCTACAAACACCTGTTAATTACATCTGGCGTTCCATTCCCAACCTCACTACTAGTACTAGCTGTGCAAACTCTGGACAGACAAATCATGTAAGTCTTCTGAGACTCACTTTATTCATTTATAAAGATGGTTGAAATATGCATGTCTAATAGTTTTTCCAGCTCTAAACATCGTCCATGTTATAAATCAGGGTTTATAGGTGGAACTACAGGTCTTTGAAGGGAACGCACCTGGGGGAGAAAGGAGCAGAAATAGAGCTCTGCTCTTGGCACTATTGTACAGAGGAGAAGCAAAGCTGATTAGGTAGGCCAAAATTTCGAAGAACAGGAGAGGAGAAACAATGATGAGGAAGAGGAGGCAGTGAGAAAAAGACATAAGGCCAAGGGTAGCTATGATCGTCACCTCAATCTATCAGAGCCCAGGGATGAAGAGAGAATCTAACGCGATAAACTGGGCAATTGTGCTAGTTCCCAATGGACGCTAATAGTAGGTGTCTCCCTGGTTCTTCCTAATCCTGGAGTTGTCCTGCAAGGAGAGGAAGATACTATAAAAATTAATGATGCCTCACAGGCGACAGGTGTCTCAGCGTCCAGGAACAAGAGCCCACTAGAGGGAAGACTGTTGTGGGGAGGCAAGTCCGCCCTGTGGCCACCCGCCAGCTCTGCCCAAAAAGTCCTAGCGCGGATCAGTTACGGCAGGTGGAAACTCTGGCTCACCCGCAGCGGGCGGGTCCGTGGGACAGAGGTCTGAGGCCGACCGGGTGGGAGAGCAGGGTCTCGCGACCACCTTCGACAGCCAACAGCGAGTTGGGCCTTTCCATCCGCGGCCTCAGATTCACTTGTTTGACTGCGACGTCACTTCCGATTTCTTCTTCCGCTTTCTGGACTGAAAACGTGCCGCAACACTGCAGCCGACAGGATTTCCGGGTCCTTCGGTGCGGCTGCGCTGTGCTGCGCAGCGCAGTGCTCCAAGCCCGAGTACTTTACACAGGGTCATTTCAGGAGACCTCCCAGAGGAACTGCAGCAAACCCCAGGCCTCGCCCTTGGGTCACGCCTCCTCCTCTCCGTGGCCGCACCCACCTTCCCCGCCCCTGCAGCTCCTGACTGTGAGTGTGGCTGTTACATCATCATCGGGCGCCAGGTCTGGCTTTTCTATTTGCCTTGTGTCTCTGCGACTCTCTTTAGGGTCCATGTGGTTTTCTTCAGGTGATTCTGGACAGTCCCTGGAGGGGTGTGACGAAATCCAAGAAATTTTCATTGAAGTCCAGGTGTCTGCGCAGACCTCAGAGCCTATCGGAGGTAAGTGAAGGAGGCTCCCGATGGAGGTAGCCTAGACTCACGTCGGGCCTTCCTTGGTATCTGGCATGCTCTTCTGGGGCTCCCCAGTCTCCTCAGAAGGACTAAACTTAGCCAGCCCATGAGGATCCCCTCTATTTCGATTCGCCCCAGATTTTGCTCCCTTACGATCTCATCCTCTCACGCTGTCCACCGTTATTCGTCTCCGGAGTAATCCTCATCCCTGCAAGGCAGTGGGCAAGTTTCAATCTGTCTGTGCTTTTATGAGGTTCCTTCAGTTTCACATGCTTTCTCCTCCGCCCCCGCCTTTACGCCCATCTTAAGTGGTCGAACTGTTTTAATATCAAACTTCCAAGTCCAGCTGAAATGCACACTTTGAATCTTCCTGGGAGCCGCCCAGTTAGGATTGAAAATCTCTTCTGAGCTTCTCAGTACTCTATACTTACAGGATAGATCTGATATTCTGCATTATAGTGTAGTTCCTATTACTTATGTAGTCCCAGTTTCTCAGGCTCTGACCTCTCTTGGATCGTGTTCTTCCTTTTCAATTTCACAACACTTGGTGCCTCCATGCCTTGTGTTGTGTTCCCTCCCCTGCCAGCGCTGTTCTCACTTTAATCTGGCAGACTCCTACTACTGCTCCTCAGTTCCTCCTCCTAAAGTTTTAAACTGTTTATTTCCCGATGAAGTTATATGCTCCCTTGCCTATACTCTAGGATGGGGCAAAGCCCTGCAGGCTAGATCTGGTCTGATGCCTGTTTTTGGGTAGCCAGTGGGCCAAGAATGATTTTTACAGATGAACATTTGCGTCTATTTGATGATGTAAAACACTAACTTTGAGCCTGAAGCAAGTGAAATATTCTCCTTCTCCTCCAAAGAATCCTATTTTCATTCATAAATAAAAAATTGAACTCATAACTATTTGGGGGGCTTTATTAGTAAAAAGAAATGGAAATTTCCTTTCTACTTTATAAGTAACTACATAATATGCTCTATTTTGGCTGTGGGCCTCAAATCCTAAAATATTTATCATCTGGCCCTTGACAGAAAAAGTTTGTCAGCTCCTTTCTATAGCAATGTTCATCTTATAGACACCACTTAAAACGATTTTAATTTTGTTTTCTTGTGGAACCCAGCATGATGCTTCCTTTACGTTGTTCCACAGTCTTTGAGCACCTAAAAAAAAATCTTCCAAACATGAAATGTTTACTAAAAAAATGTTTAGTTTAATCACATGTGTGATTACGTGCATTGACAGAAATATGCAGTAAAGTAGGATAATAGAAGACAGGGCCCTGACCCAGTGTAGGGGATCAGAAAAATTTTCTGGGGGGATGTAATCCTTGACTTGAACTTTAAATGATAAATAGGAAGTTGGTAGGAAGAGGTCATTCCTGGCAGGGCAGACAAGTGATCGATGCCATTGAGAGAAGAAAGAGCGTGGCATGTGAAAGAGTACAAGAGGTAAAGCTGGAAAGGCAAGCAAGGACCAGAGCACAAAGGGCCTGCCATGCCATGTTAAGCAGCTTGGACCTTCTTTTCTGGGCATCGTTGGGCTTTGTAGCAAAAGCCAGATTTGCACTGTAGTCTGAGAACCCGGATGGCTTTTCGGAAGATGTTTGAGGGAGTTAGGGAGACTTTACGTTGCATTGTTTCCATAGATGAGAGACTTGAATTAGGGCAGTGGAACTAGGTGGAGTAAACATGATGAAGTTCAGACAGATTTGGGAGGTAAAACCAGCAGATCTTTTCAGATGTTAGAAGTGAGAAGGAAGGACGAGTCGAGGCTGATTCCAGATTCCTAGCTGGTCCAGTCACCAGCTGAAACGGAGAACACTGGAGTGTGTGAGGGTGCAGACCGTGTTTTCCGGTCATCATTGTATCCCAGCGCCCAGAACAGGGTCCTACACATTGTAAGTACTTGAATGAACAGAAAAGTTCCCCCCCTTTTAACCATGGGTCACCATGTTTCATCAAAACAGCCTTTAAAATATATTGCACTTACATATTTTAGTGTTTCTGATGCACTGTTCTCAGGCTTTCTGGAATGGATGATGAGTTGTACCACTGGAATCATTCGTCTGATAAAATTGAATCTCTTTTGCAATTGAATAGTTCTGTAAAGACATTTTCACTTAATTACATGCCAGTTAAAAGTTTTAATTAATTTTTATCCTATTCTCTCACTTTAATTTAGAATTTAATTTTAGAATTGCAGTATGGTATCCCTATCTGTACTCTTCCTGCTTCCTTTAGATTGTTTCTTCTGTGTTATCATTAAATGGTTTATTAGTCACTAAGTTATTACAGAGCCTTTTCAAAGGATGCAGAGTAAAAATCATAACTATACAGGTTTATGAATAATAGGTATATAAAATACTTCTTTTTCAGACATAAGGCAGAGTCTCTATAATCATTTCTAACACCAGTTTCAAACTACTTACTTTTGGATAACAGCCCAATTATATGAAATTATGGCTGGTTATAAGCCTGCAGCTATTCAGACATATCCTATACTTGGTGAAAAAATCACCCAAGATACACTGTATTGGAACAACTATAAGGTAAGTGTTTACGCCAATTTCTCAAGTATGCGTTATACTTTGGATACTCTAGTAGAGAACTAATCACTAAACATAATCTATCAGCAACTTATAGTTTGGACAGAAGATTTGGTATCGATACTTTCTCGGAATTTTATGTAAAAAGTCCATGCTGCTTAATCAGTGTAACCACACAAATGCCCAGCACAGAATAGATGATTAATCAATGATAAATAAATTAAATTTTAGAATTCTAATCTCATATGCAAGGTTTTTTTTTGCCTTTCTTAATCTAAGGAGGAAGTAATGCAAAATTAGTTTTTCTAGACTATGAAGAATTACAATAGATTTTTTAAAACAACTAAATAGAAAATGGAAAAAGATTGGGAGTGGGTGGTTAATGGAAATAGAAATTTAGTATATGTAAGAGCACAGGAAAAAGAAATTTAAATGGCCAATACATGTGAATATATTCTTCATTCATAATGAAAGAAATGCAAATTAAAACAATAATCTGGTTACTGTTTTTTATCTTTTATATTGGCACAAGTGAAAAATTTTGATCATTACTACTTGATGGAGAGAAACTGGTACAGACTTTCTGGAGGGCAATTTGGAATTATCTAACATGATAAAAATACCTTTCAGCCTTGTAAATTCCACAGTTTGGAACTTATTCAATGAATACACTCCCCAAAATTTGCTAAGATGTATGAATAAAGATGTTCATTGAAGCGTTATTTATAATAGAAATCTTGGAAAAGCCTGTGTCCATTAGTATAGACTGGTAAAGCAAATTATGATGTACCTTATAATGGGTGATAAATCTATTGCTTATATTAAAAGTTAGCTAAGATGAGGTACTAAGAAACAAGCAAGATGCAGAACCGCCTGCATGGTGTGATCTTTGTGTCAGTTAAATACACTGTTCAGTGTATGTGGTGGAGGCATGACGTTTTCCCCCAGAAGTAATCACAGGTAACTCCAGCTGAAGAGAAAGAGTGGAGTGTGGCTTTCCAACCCTATACATATTTACTTTAATGGCGACAGGGACAGGATAGGGTGATGGGATTTGGACCTTTTGCTTTTTTCATACTTCTGTATTAAGTACAACCTAGTAAATGTTACTAAGAACAAAAAAAATGGTCAATAAGAAATTATATAGGACTTGAATAGAAATTATTAGTTGTAACTCTGTTAATACTCTGTTGTTTTTTTTATTAAGACTCCTGTTCAGATCAAGGAGTTTGGTGCAGTGTCAAAAGTAGACTTTTCTCCGCAGCCTCCATACAATTATGCTGTCACAGCTTCTTCAAGGGTAAATATAACATTAAATTTATTTTTCTTTTGTATAGTTTATATTTACTACCGATTGTGAGCCATCTGGTGATTTCTCTGTTTTTTATCTTTTAGATTCACATTTATGGCCGATACTCCCAAGAACCTATAAAAACCTTTTCCCGATTTAAAGACACAGCGTACTGTGCTACTTTTCGACAGGATGGCAGACTGCTTGTGGCTGGCAGTGAAGATGGTGGAGTTCAGCTTTTTGATATAACTGGGAGGGCTCCCCTCAGGCAGTTTGAAGGCCATACTAAGTAAGAGGCAGTTTTAAAAACTTGTTTTTTAATTGAGGTATAATTAACATACGTTATATTACAATAGCTTCAAGTGTACAACATAGTGATTTGATATATGTATATATTGTAAAATGATCACAGTAAGTCTAATTAATTTTTTTTACCATACAGTTATAGATAGTTGCCTTTTATGTGCCCTTTTTTGTTTTGTTTTCTAAGCTCTGTTTGTTTGCTGGGCTTTGAATAAAAACATAGAGAAGATGATAATACCTTATGTAATTTGTTCCTGGTTGTTTTAGGACAGAATCTGTATCCTGGCTCAGCCCTAAGGTCTAGTTTGATGGCGCTCATGAACTCCCTAGAATTGCCTGTGACATTTGAGGAGATGGGTATTTAGGAAGACACCCTGTAGTGTTTGATAACTTCCCCAGTGAGTTCCGTGCCCAG